CTGCCCGCGCGCGCCCCGCCTTGGCGGCCGGTGGCCAGGGAAGGGGCCGGCGCGGACGCAGGAAGGCTGGGGCGGGCGCTGTTGTTTCCGCGAGCCCAACTCGGGCGCAGGTTCAGCGCTCGGCGCCAGAGTCCGGGCCGCAGTCCTCGGAGCTCGCGGGCCGGGCACCCAGGTCGGCGGGAGCCCGCAGACGCGTGCACCACGGGCGGGACAAAGTAATAACGGGGGCGGGCGGGCGGGCTACGCGGCGTGCGGGCCGAGCGGTGCCCGCGCCGAGAGCAAGGCGGCGCGTGTGGCGCTGTAGAGAAATGTCTTTCTCCGCGGCCGCGCCAGTGCCGATGCCGCGCAGCGCGAGGGGGAGGGGGCGGGCGCGCGGCGCGCAGGGGAGGGGGCGGCCACGGGCCCGACTACACCGACACTAATTCCCAGGCCGCCCTTAAGGAATGAGGGGAGCACGTGACCCCGGGGGGAGGGGGCGGGCGGACTCCGAGCCATTTTGGAGCCGGTGTCAGTTTCCACTCTGCCTTCAGCGGTGCATTTTTTTTTCCACCCTCCCCTCCCCCTCCTCATCCTTCCTCCCCTCCCCCCGCCTCGCCGCCGCCGCACGCACACACGGCGCCCCCCGCCCGCCCTCCTCCCCCCACAGCAACTATGAAATAATAATCGTAGTATTAAAGGCAGAGATCGGGCGAGACAATGGGGATGTTGGCGAGGGAGCCCCGAGCCGGATTAGAAACACCTCTCAGCCCCGCAGAATAATACCGATCGCGCCCCCTCCGCGCGCTCCCTCCCCCGAGCGCGGAGCGGGAGGTGGCGGCGGCGGCCGAGGAGGAGGAGGAGGAGGAGGAGGAGGAGGAGGCCCAGGAGGAGGAGGCGTTGGAGGCCGAGGCGGAGGCGGAGGAGGAGGCCCAGGCGGAGGAGGAGGAGGCCGAGGCGGCGGCGGCGGCGGAGGAGGAGGCCGGGCTCGGAGGCAGCATGAGCTGAGCGCGGCGGCCGCGGCTCCCTCTCGGCTGCGCTCGTTGCCCATTGACAGCGGCGTCTGCAGCTCGCTTCAAGATGGCCGCTTGGCTCACATTCATTTTCTGCTGAACGACTTTTAACTTTCATTGTCTTTTCCGCCCGTTTCGATCGCCTCTCGCCGGCCGCTCTTTCCGGGTACGTAGGAGGAAAGGCGCCTCCGGGACGGGGCCGGGGGGCGGCGGGGGTCCGCGCGGGCCCGGG